CTCTGGGATGCTTAAATATCATAGAATAGTATGTGTGGGTGGGGTGGCCTGGTATGGTAGCCTGGCTGACACCATACATACCACACTTGATTTCTTACAATAAATACTACTTGTCTCACCCTAGATTAAGACTATAAATATTTTAAGGTAAGTAATGAGTGCACTGTGTGTGTATTGTACTTTTTTATTGTTTTTTGATGCCTGGTTCTATTGCTAACATAATATATGTTAGTGTAAACTTGTTATCTAGTGTTTGTATGCATTTGTAAGTGGAAAAAAAGGGTGTTCCACTTTACGGAGGTTTCCACTTTACTGCGGTAGCCTGGAACCTAACCCGCCGTATAAGTGGGGCCCTCCTGTATATATTTTTTATGGAAGGTTAGAAGAGTTTGATAACATGTGTACTATAAAAGGGACTTCAAACACTGAAGAAATCAAGAGGGTAAAAAACAGGCTTGTATCATGCTAAAACTATTTCTTTTTATGTTTTTAAATGCATATTCTTAAGTAGCATAAGAAATAGTTCAACTGGAATGATTATAAGCAATTTTTGACAACCCAGCTTATACGTGACTGATGAACCAGACAAGCTTAGCCCATGGCCAGGTTCTGTGAGTAGAAAATAATCATCATTGAACTGCTTGTTGGATCAGTTATTTTCCAAACAAAAGAAAAATATTTTTGGAGGTGAGAATAGTTTTAATGAAAACACTGGCATCTTCTGTTAGGGCTTTACATGACATGAAAACAGGGCCTTGTATCATGCTAAAATGATTTGATTTTAAACTTCTAAAAAAAAATTATTTGATAGCCTCAGTAAAAAGATATTTTGTTGTCTTACCATTTTTATTTATTCTTCCTTTTTGTTTCCAATGCAAATAAATATATGTACTGAACCAAATATGTATACAGTGGAACCCCTACTTAGGAGTGCCCCAACGTGTGAGTTTTTCAAGATACGTGCAGTTGTTCGGTTGATTTTTTGCTTCCAGATGGAAGCAGGCCTCAAGGGAGGTTCCTTGATGCTGGTGAGGGGCTCTTGCTCTTGATCTAGGGAATTGGATCTCGGTTGTTTGTTGGACTATCGTATTGAAACTTGGGCAATGTATGATGGAAAGATGCTTCTTAACATACACCAAAATTTAAACTAATCGGACCATAAATAACGGCGTTCACTTCTCAGCCATTAGGCGCCCCTTAGCGGTATATTTACATATGGTTTTTATGGTTGTATTCTCGTTTTTTTGGTCTCATCTGATAGAATGGAAGATATATTACAGAAATAGATATGAATTTGATTGGTTTCACGATGAAAAGTATACCTTGAAATTGAGCTCAAAGTAGGAGAAATGTTCAATTCTTTGACAATGTTCAAGGGTAAACAAATGACATCACCGTCCAATACCTGTCCGACTGGCCACTCCAGTACACAGTCATGAATGGGTTGACATTATTTATACAATTATTACAATAATGTAGTAGTCTGCATAACAGTAAGTCTTCTATTTTTTGTGTGAATAAAAATTCAAAATGGTAAGAAAGAGTATTGTTATAATAATATGTATAATATAATAATAATAATAATAATAATATAATAATAATACATTCTTCTTTCTTTCAACACACTGGCCGTATCCCACCGAGGCGGGGTGGCCCAAAAGGAAAAACGAAAGTTTCTCCTTTTACATTTAGTAATATATACAGGAGAAGAGGTTACTAGCCCCTTGCTCCCGGCATTTTAGTCGCCTCTTACAACACACATGGCTTACGGAGGAAGAATTCTGTTCCACTTCCCCATGGAGGTAAGAGGAGATAAACAAGAACAAGAAAGAAAATAGAAGAAAACCCAGATGGGTGTGTATATATGTTTGTACATGTATGTGTAGTGTGACCTAAGTGTAAGTAGAAGTAGCAAGACATACCTGAAATCTTGCATGTTTACGAGACAGAAAAAAGGACACCAGCAATCCTACCATCATGTAAAACAATTACAGGCTTCCGTTTTACAATCACTTGGCAGGACGGTAGTACCTCCCTGGGCGGTTGCTGTCTACCAACCTACTACCTAGAATAATAATACATATAACATAATTATAATAATAATATGTACATACTACGAATAAATAAATAAATAAATAAATAAATAAATATAATAAGTTTGAGCACACCAGCTCGAGATGGCAGTGCATATCAAAACAAAGCTCAGCAGTTCACGTGTGCTTATGGAACTTACCTCGCAATTGAAGGAATTCTCGTGTTTGCCTTACTTTTCGTGCAGTTATTTTGCGAAATTTCTTGTTTCTAACCATGGGTCCTAAGAAAGCAAATTCACAGCAAAATGCCAAGAAGAAAAAGAGGGTGATTACCATGGATTTAAAGCAGGAAATTGTTGATAAACATGGACTAGGTGCGAGGGTTAAGGACCTGGCCAGGCAGTACCAGTGTAGCACTTCTACGATATGTACAGTATGTACTAAAGCACAAGGAATCTGAAAGGAAGAAACAAACCTCCTTGGACAGTTTTTTTTTATTGAAACACCCTGCGGATAAAAGTGTGAAAAGCGTGGAGAAAAAGCCAAAAATCAATGAATAGTGAAGTAACATAAAAATGAAAATTGTAGAAGTTAAGTTCAGTGACAGTGTAGCATCAAGAGTGTAGGAATTAAGCAATTACGTGATAGAAAAAGGATGAAACAAAAAGAACTGACAGCACATGTCGCTGTGCCCAGCATCTCTTCATTTCCAAGGTAAATGCTGTAGTACTGCATAATTTATATACATTACTATTATTATTATTATTATTATTATTTTCCTTATAAAACTACTTAGTGATCTAATGCAATTTGCCTCACAAACATTCCATTTTCTGTTATAATAAGAGCATGGGAAGGTATGTAGTCAACAACAACAACAACGGTGGCCGCTATGCCACCGCGGCAACTACCACTATCCACATATGTAATGACATATTTCATTCATTCTACTGTAGATATCATGTTTCTATGTTATTAATATTGTATATTATGTCATATTAGCTGAATTGTGATAGATAAATAAGCAGTAGAGTTGATATTAGGGAAATATTGAAGTATTTTGTCGAGCCTGGAATTCCACTGGAACAGATTAATTCCATTCCAATTATTTTAAATGAGAAAAATTGACTCAACAAACGAGCAAATCGAGATGCAAGGAAGGTCACAGAACGGATTAAACTCGCAAGTAGAGGTTCCACTGTACTGTCTTCTGTGATAATGTATTTAGTGATAATGAATGACATTATGAATTTCTGTTATTCATTGAAAAATGTACAAATTAATTTTTTGTGCCTTCCTAAAAGCATGATCATAGCAGGAAATGAAAAAGCATGTACTTTCACAAAACATGCAACAACAAATGCTCATGTAAATATAGTGAGAGTACAATAAAACCCTTGGTATGGTGGACCACTGTGCAATGACTTTCGGATATAATGAGCAAAAATTTTCTGCTGGTGAAAGGCTTAGTGAATCCACTATATGATGTCCAGTAAGATCAATGCTAAGTTTGTTGCATTGCACATTCACCTATAACAGGAGGGCCCATTTAACTTTCAAATGCATATAAAAGCCAAATAACATGTTTACACTATCAACTTATTAAATGAGTAATAGAGCTAGGCCTAAAAAATGCACATATAGTACACACACTGCTTACCTTAAAATATTTTTGTCCTTAGCATATAGCGAGTGGTGAATATACTTATTGTAGGAAGTTTGAATAAATGAAGAATGGGTATAATTGAAAACTGCTGCATTAGTGAAACTCCGTAAAGCAAAGCACTGTAAAGTGGGGCCTACCTGTACAGGTATCTAGTAGTACTGTACCATCAGTAACTCCATACCTTCTAATCTTCAAGCTCCAAATCCTCTATAATATTCACATCACACATTGCTTTCAAACATGTCATCATCTCTACTGCTTCCAACCTCCTACTTGCAGCATTTAAAACCTGTTTTGCACCCATATAACGAGTATTGGTATCACTATGTTCTGGTACATTCTTCTTATTGCCTCCACAGATGCCTCAGTGCACCACCCACTTTTTTCCTTTCATCGACTATGGTTCACCTCATCTTGCATAGACCTGTCTGCTGACAAGTCCACTCTCGTATATCTAAGAAAATTTACGTCCTCTGTACTCTCTCCCTCCAGTCTAATATGAAATCTTTCATTGCCTAATGATGATGTTAAATTAGACACATGTGCAACTCTTGGGTATCTTTATTGAGGAAACGTTTCGCCACACAGTGGCTTCATCAGTCCATACAAAGGATAAACATGAAGAACAGGAGGAGAATGAGGTAATCAGTCCCTCAACCTTGAGTCGATGTGGTCAGTCCGATCATCAATCCATTCTATTCAAGATTGATGGACTGACCACATCGACTCAAGGTTGAGGGACTGATTACCTCATTCTCCTCCTGTTCTTCATGTTTATCCTTTGTATGGACTGATGAAGCCACTGTGTGGCAAAACGTTTCCTCAATAAAGATACCCAAGAGTTGCACATGTGTCTAATTTAACAACGTGTCATTTCTTTGAACCATTCATCTACAAGCCTAATGATGATGTTACTCTCATTACCTTGCTTTTTTATTTTTTCATTTTTAATAGTGTGTAAAAAACTCATTACAAACAGGTACAGTATATGTGCTTTTCATCTCCTAATAAAAAAATAAATTTTGCAAGTTATCAGAAATGATTGATAATTATTGCCACAATCACATTTTCCTGGCTTTTAAGGAAATGTTCTTAGACTAGGTCTTTAGAAAGGATTGGTGTAATTGTGCACTGTGGAATGAATAGGCATGATGGGTATGAAATGCATTAAAAATACAATACATTAATACTATACAAAAGTTTTAATTTAACTAGTATGGTTGTTGGAGAAAAAAAAGTTAAGATACGGATGCAACTTTTGAGTGTGCTCCTTAGATTATGTAGTTATCTTCTTTTTCCAGGTGCTTAGATGCAGTTCTTACAATTTCTGCTATTCTGACTAGTGGACGTGGCATATTTCATAACAGCATCGACTTGCGCACTGACATAAGAAAAGCTAAAGTGAAATTTGATCCTGCTAGTGACCTGCTAGCCATGTTAGAACTCGTTCAAAAATGGAATGAACAGGAATTTTATGAAGACAAACTTTTGTTTTGCAATAATCATAATCTCAGTCACAGATCTTTACTCTTTAATCAAGGTAAGTTATTAATTGTTCTGTTTTCTTCAGTGCAGATCTGTGGCCACATGCTTAATCCATCCCAGTTAAATTTTCCATAATCTCAGTTTTTTGGTAGTTCCTTAGCTCTGGTGTTAGTCCAAGCTATGATGCATACTTCAAACTATGACAGTAATACTTTGAAATTAAATACGTATCACAATTTTAATTTGTGTCTCGACTATATATATACACACACACATACACACAAACACTGATCTCTGGCTGAAGGAGACTCGAACCTACGAACCTTGGAACAAGGTACGCAGTGCTTTACCAATCTACCCACACTGGACCAATACCTTGGAGTCCAGCTTGTGCTAGACTTTGATCCAAGGCAGCCAGCTTTCAGGGAGAAGGCTTACAGCTTTTCATCTCATCCCCTGCATGCATCAGCCTTACTAGAGATATTAACAATGCAAGGAATTCGCAAGAGCAGGCGAAATATACACAAACACCTGCTCTTGCGAATTCCTTGCATTGTTAATATCTCTAGTAAGGCTGATGCATGCAGGGGATGAGATGAAAAGCTGTAAGCCTTCTCCCTGAAAGCTGGCTGCCTTGGATCAAAGTCTAGCACAAGCTGGACTCCAAGGTATTGGTCCAGTGTGGGTAGATTGGTAAAGCACTGCGTACCTTGTTCCAAGGTTCGTAGGTTTGAGTCTCCTTCAGCCAGGGATCAGTGTTTGTGTATATTTCGCTTGCTCTTGCGAATTCCTTGTGTGTGTGTGTGTGTGTGGGTGGGTGGGGGTGTGTGTTAGTTACCATTGTGTGGGTGTGTGTGTGTGTGTGTGGGGTGCCGAATAGGCAGAACTTGTGATCTTGGCTTAAATAGCAACACTCATCTTGCCATATAGGACAAGTGAAAAATTTGTGTATGCAATAATTTCGCCAAAATCATTCTGAACCTAACGAAAAAAATATATTTCACTGTGTTTGTTTAGTATTAAATTATTGTAAACAAATCTAAAATACATTTAGTTGGGTTAGGCTAAAATAAATTGTTCTTGTTATAATAAGGTTAGGTAAGTTTTCTAAGATTCTTTTGTAGCAGAATTAAAATTTTTTACATTAACCCTTTCAGGGTCCGTCCCGTAGATCTACGGCTTTACGTTCATGGTCCAAACCGTAGATCTACGCCAAAATTCTAGCGCCGTCAAATTTAGCATGAGAAGGCTGGTAGGCCTACATCTAAGAGAATGGGTCTGGGTGGTCAGTGTGCACACCATGGAAAAAATCTGGACGCCCGCATGGCATTGTGGGAATGCCAGCAAAAGTAGCTTTGTTCATAGTGCCTGGCGGCAAGGAGGCTCTCACTCCCCACTCACTCTCTGGGCGAATTCTGACTCTCCTCTTCACAACTTACAGTTCTAAGACTGATGGAAGTGGAGCTGAAGACGAATTCTATGGTTTTGAACCATATGGTACCATTGTGCCATATGGTACAATGGTACCATATGGTACAATGTTGCCATGCCATACAATGGTATATGGTTCAGTGGTATCATATGGTACAATGGTATATGGTACAATGGTACCATATGGTAAAATGTACCATATAGTACATTGTACCATATGGTACATTATACCATATGGTACATTATACCATATGGTACAGGGACCCTAATGGAAATAAATGTCTGACTTTTTTGGGTTATCCTAGGTTCTCCAAACATATGCTGCTAAGTATGATATTCTATGTAACTTTATTTGTGTATAACTAAATAAACTTACTTATGATGCCACATGCACTTGAGTAAGTTTATTCAGGTGTACAGAAATAAAATTACATAAATTATCATACATAGCAGCATACGTATAAAATCCTAGGATAACCCAAAAAAGTCAGGGTGACTTATTTCCATAGTTATCCCTGTATCTGTACCATATGGTGTCCTGTACTGTATGGTACTCTGTACCATATGGTACCCTGTGCCATATGGTACCCTGTGCCATATGGTACCCTGTGCCATATGGTACCCTGTGCCATATGGTACCCTGCACCATATGGTACCCTGCATCATATGTTATCCTGTACTGCATGGTACCCTATAGTACAATGTACCATATGGTACCCTGTAACATATGATACCGTGTACCATATGGTCAATAGGTGTTGGTGGCATGAGACACCAGCCAAGACTGAGTGAGTGGCGATGCAAGCTAGCTACTGACTCTCCAGTTTCCACAACATTTTTGCCTATTTTTGTTGTAAACAACTATTGTAAACAAAATAATAATGAAAATATTAGTGTGTTTATTGTGTTGAATACAATAGTACCATTTGGTACAATGAACTATATGGTATCATTGTACTGTATGGTACAATGTATCATATGGTACCATTGCATCATATGGTACCATATGGTACCATTGTATTATATGGTACCATTGTACCAAATGGTGCCATTGTACCATATGGTACCATTCAATCATATGGTACCATTGTATCATGTTCCATTGTGCCATATTGTACCATATGGTACCATTGTATCATATGGTGCCATTGTACCATATGGTACAATTGCACCCTATGGCACCATTGTACCATATGGTACTCTATGGTACCATTGTATTCAACACAATAACCGCACTAATATTTTCATCATTTTGTTTACAATTAACTTGTAAACAAGTTTTGTAAGCAATATAATGATAAACAAATTAGTGCAGTTATTGCATAGAATACAATGAGTGTACACTTATACAATATACATTATACTGGTCTCACAGGCCACAAATGTTATTAGAAAAAGAAAAAATTAGAAAATAAAATAAAAAATAAAAAACGTAAAATAAAAAAATGGGATTTTGCGGAAGTCACTGATGTTGCCGCCACCCGGTCATTTTGGGTCAACTTTCCGCCACTGTATCTCGGTAAGTACTGATCAGAAAAAAACTTTTTTTTGTCGTATTACCTTCACAAAATTATACTCTTTAATTCTGTAAGATTTTTTTTTTTTTTTTTTTTTTTTTTTTTAATTTCTTGGACACTGGAGCACCACTTCAGATTTTGGCCTTGGACCCCTGAAAGGGTTAACATTAATGAAAAAAATATATCCTTAAATGTATAAGAGAAAATTTTAGAAAAGATTTAATTTTAAATGAGTTCTTGCTAATTGACCAGTTTTACATATTCGGCACGACATACACATATGTACATATATACATACATATATATATATATATATATATATATATATATATATATATTATATATATATACATACCTACATACACATACATACATACAGTGGAACCTCAAAAATTGAACTTAATCCGTTCCAGGAGCTAGTTCTAAATTCGAAAAGTCTGAAATTCGAAGCAATATTTCCCATAAGAAATAATGGAAATACAATTAATCCGTTCCAGAAACCCAAAAATATTCACACAAAAAATACATTTTATAGAGATTAATTACAGTTTTACATACAACAAATACTATAGTTTTTAATTATGTATAGTAATACATATAAACCTAGGTAGTAGGTTGGTAGACAGCAACCGCCCAGGGAGGTACTACCGTCCTGCCAAGTGAGTGTAAAACGAAAGCCTGTAATTGTTTTACATGATGGTAGGATTGCTGGTGTCCTTTTTTCTGTCTCATGAACATGCAAGATTTCAGGTACGTCTTGCTAATTCTGCTTACACTTAGGTCACACTACACATACATGTACAAGCACATATATACACACCCCTCTGGGTTTTCTATTTTCTTTCTAGTTCTTATTCTTGTTTATTTCCTCTTATCTCCATGGGGAAGCAGAACAGAATTCTTCCTTCGTAAGCCATGCATGTTGTAAGAGGCGACTAAAATGCCAGGAGTAAGGGGCTGGTAACCTCTTCTGCTGTATATATTACTAAATGTAAAAGGAGAAACTTTCGTTTTTCCTTTTGGGCCACCCCGCCTCGGTGGGATACGGCCGGTGTGTTGAAAGAAAGAATACATATAAAATAACATTTTAACTTACCTTTATTGAAGATTGGTGATGGCATCTGGAAGATAGGGAGGAGGAGAGAGGGAGTCAGGGTTAGTGTTTGGAAGGAGAATCCCCCTCCATGAGGACTTCAGGTAAAGCTCTCTCTGGGGTTACTTCCCTTCTCTGTCTTTTAATGCCACTAGGACCAGCTTGAGAGTCACTGGACCCCTGTCTCACAAAATAACTATCCACAGTCCTCTGTTTCTGGCGCCTCTTTAACATTTCCCTAAAATGGGACATGGTTCTGTCACTGAACTTGTTGCAAAGATGGCTTGTTTCAGCTTGCTCAGGGTGGTACTTCTGCACAAACATTTGGACATCATTCCACTTGGCACAAATCTCCTTAATCTTTGAAGAAGGCACCTCATCCACTCCCTCTTCCTCCTCCTCTGAAGCAAGTTCCTCAGCTGTGGTCTGATACTGCTCCAGATGAAGCTCTTGCAGCTCTTCAGTGGTTAGCTCTTCCCTGTGGTCCTCCACCAACTCTTCCACATCCTCATCACTCACCTCCAACCCCAGGGTTTTCCCCAGTGCCACAATAGAGTCCACAACAGGCAGAGGGTGAGCTGGGTCAGGGTCAGCCTCAAACCCCTCAAAATCCCTCTTTTGGACACAATCTGGCCACAATTGTCTCCAAGCAGAGTTCAAAGTCCTAGAAGTCACTCCCTCCCAAGCCTTACCTATAAGGCTTATGGAGTTGTAGATGTTGAAGTGATTCCTCCAGAACTCTCTTAGGGTCAACTTAGTGTCTGTGGTCACTTCAAAGCACTTTTCAAACACTGCTTTTGTGTAGAGTTTTTTGAAGTTAGAAATGACCTGCTGGTCCATGAGCTGGAGGAGAGGAGTGTGTTAGGAGGCAAGAACTTCACTTTTATAAAATTGAAGTCCTTAGACAAGAGGTCTAATAAGTTTGGAGGATGAGCAGGAGCATTGCCAATTAACAGGAGGCACTTGAGTGGCAATTTCTTTTCCTGGAGGTATTTTTTCACACTGGGGCCTGGA